CCCGAAGTCGCAAAAGTATGACGTCACAACATTCTGATTGGTCACTTGCAATGTTGATCCTGGAACAACATTTAGTATGATGATCTGGGAACAACACCAACACGAGGATATCAGATCAACCGTGTCAGGAGGCCCTGCTAGGGCCATAACATACACCAAGAAAAGCAAGGTAGAAGACAGAAAGTGATACTTGCACTCGATGGTTATTGCTTCTTAAGTTTCTAAACATGAAAGCATTAAATTGCTGGATCCTGGAATATCCAGCAATTAATGCGCAGACAGAAACACTCTGATTGCTCAACAACATCCATGTGCGTGTGTATTCTGGTCTAAAGAAATATGCCAGAAATATGTCTGGCTCTGTTCTAAACACTTTGAGTGATTAACAAGGTCAGTGAAATGCTGCTGTGGGAGAGGGACCCAAAGCACTGGCACTAATAGACTTTAATTTCCACGGTTGCAAGGTCAAAACACAGCTTGAAAAAACATTCCCCTTCAGATACTAGGACCGGACTGAAGATGATTTAAAAAAACAACCAATGTCCAAAGAACAATATTGAAACACCTTCATAAAACCTGGAGAGCACTTTAGAAACATGCAGTAGGTGAAAGTCTGTCCTCTCTTATGCAAAATTCAGATAAGTGATGGGCGGCTCAAGACCTTCGGACAAATATCAGAGTTTAAAGAAATATGAAGCATAAATCTAACAGTTGTAGCCTAACAGAAAAATATAAGAGATGTTCATAGTATAAACAAAAGTCTGAACAAGTAACAACCCAGCAAACAAAACTGAAGAATGTTGTTGTAATAGTGGCAGACATAACTTCCACATCTGGTTTTGGATCTTTGAGGAAGACTGAAATTTCTTTAAGTTATTTAATTTAATTTTTAATTTGATCTCTTTATTTGATAAGATTGAAATGCATGAATGAAGAACTATTTGCTGGAAATAGTTTTGGTGATTGCAGTCAGTTTGACCATTAGGGCATTTTACACTGCAAAAGTTAAAGACCCTACAAAAGCACTAAGAAAATCACAATAATACAAGACTATCTTTGAGCAAGCATTTAGGTACTTTTATAGGTGATTATCTAAGTCAAACATTTGTGAAGGAAGTGCCATCTTTCAATGACACTCTGCAATTGAGTGTTCATAGTGGAAAATAGATATGCCCAGAGAAGAAGGGGAGAGTCCAAGCAGCTGGCAGCTAGCTGACCTGGCTAAGAGCAGGAAATGTCATGTGTTCCTGCTAACACCATCCAGAACTCTTCACTCCTCTCATTGTAAACTTACACAGTTGATTTGGTCAGAAATTCAAACTGCAGTTACCTCTCTTTGTTTTCACCTCCAGATGCTCCAAAGCCTCCCTCTGTGTCAGTGAGTCCTTCTGGTGAAATCAAGGAGGGCACTTCAGTGACTCTGACCTGTAGCAGTGATGCTAACCCAGCAGCT